ATAATCAAAGCCTTTAGATTATAAAGGCTATATCTTAATAATTAAATTCTGTTTAAATGCATCTAGATTTTCTTGGGAGACGTTTGCAGAAGGACCCGTGGATAATTCTGCTAGAATCTAAATGTACCAGCAGAAAGATTTCTAATTGAAAGCATAACGCAGCCTTTGAATACATCATTGTGTGATTTCAGAAGGTTTTCTTTAGGTGAAAACATAAAGCACAAAGGATAAGACAATGTCAAGACAAAGACGTGGCGATGTGATGCAGTGTGCGTCAAAGAAAAGTGACACTGAGTGCTCTAGATAGGAGTTTTGATGGCGATGGTGAGGAAGAGGGCTTTTGGCATGAAAGAGGCCAGTGTGTGATCATGATGTCATTAGAAGTATGGAGTGAGACAGACCGGAGGAGGCTGCTGTACTGTGCTGCACCCAGGGGACGTCATTACCAACTGGAACTGAGCAGGGACCTGAGCACAGGTCAGACACACAGGAAGTGGGCTAACACACAAACACAAGGAAGTGTGCACTTCCCCACATGGATACGCACACATAATCTCTCATCACACAAGAAATGGACAGTTCTGTCCGCTTTTCGACAGCGGACTCGTGCGTTTGCTGCTAAACCTGACAAATTCTTCAATATCTAAGTGGACACCTCTGTAGACAAATGTACCTCGTTAATGAGCGCACACAGATGGACAGAGCGCACACACATGCACACGAACGTGGACCGAGAGCTCATGCTGTGCTAAGTTGCGGAGTGGATACCGGTGTAGCCGTCTGCGCTTCATTACTGTTCACACACAGACAGTTGCAGTGTTTTTGTGTCAATGTTTAATGAGGGGCTGGGAGTCTGGGGACCCTGCTGCTGTCAGGAGCTCCATGTAGTCTGGAGCTACCACCTGTTCCCATTCACTCCCCGAAGACCTAAACACACACATATTAAACCATCCGCAGACACACACAGGCATGCAAACAAGAACAGAGCGCACAGAAACATGTCGACACAAGCGCATACTTGACAAACTGCATACAGTGATTTAGTCATCCTGTGGCACCAGCGTCAGCGCCGGATGCAGGTAAACAGGTTCTTGTGGTTGGCTGAGTCAGGCTGCCTGACAGAAGCTACACAAACCACGGGAATACCAATTGATACGTTTCATATTCCCCGTGAGCTCGGCTGAGGCGGCAGCATGAAAGCTGCTGCCAGCAAGAGTGATCCCTCTCTGCCTTTTTTCTGACACCGCCGCGTGATGGCGATCCGAAGCATCCCGGCCCATCTCGCTTCAAGCGCCGCGTAACGCAGAAACTTCCGAGACGAAATAAAACGCTTCCGCACTTGAGCGGGCTTTACAGGTGCATTTCAAAAAACTAACTTTTATTTAAACAAAACAAAACAAACAAACAAAAAAAAAAAATCAATTATCGACTCATTAACAAGATTATAAAACAGTGATTTAGTTACATAAATAAATTGATATCGGTGTATCAAATCTTAATTTCATAAGCATGTATACATGGGTCATTGTAATAAATAAAAAGGGAGAGCAGAAGAGTCCTACACGAACAGAAAATCAAAAAACAGCTAGACTCAGAGGAAACTGTTTCTGCAGAGAACGAGACACTGGACAACATGGTTTTTGCCATCAAACACACGTGAGGAGTTGCTTTGATAAAGCACGAGTTACACAGCCATTCACTTACTAATTAAGGACACTAAAGCTGGGACCAAGGTTGGTTGTCTCTCACCTCTTCGAACGCGTTTGGTTGTTAGATAGATCTTCTGTTTGGTTACTTTAAAGCGTTAAGACAAGGCAAGAGAAAAGGCTGCTTTTATCTTTCATCAACAAAACAAGAGAAAGTTAAAAAGTCGAACAGAAAATGTATCAGCATTAAAAAAAAAAAAAAAAAAAAAAAGGCAAGAAACGAGAGGACAGCTGAACGTTGCAGAGGACGGTGGACATTTGGCTGATTGTGTTTTCAAAAATCTTGAAATGATACACTGAAGCATTTACGTTGCTTTATACCAACACCAGGGTGTAAATTTGAAAAAAAGAGGCAGCTGACAGAAATTTTTCAATTTGAAGGACAAAAAAAAGAAAGATAGTCACTATTTTTAACCAGATTCACCCTCAAATAGCTCTTATGTAAAGCATGTTCTATTCTTTCCAATAGCGTTTCACTGTAAGTTACAACAGCTTTTTTTCATCTTCAAACATTTAATAAATAATCTCAAATAGTCACCCTATGCTATTTATAGTCCTCTTTGCCTCTGTCGGTGAGATTAAACCTGCATTTTTGACAAACCCAGAGTCTCAAACATGAAGATGTGGCCTTGTGAGTCCAAAAAGTTACCAACAAGGTCATCCTAGTCCTTCTGATATGTTTTTTTATAACAAAAAAAAAAGAAGACAAAGAAGAGAAAGAGATGGAGAGCCAGAAAGAGCAAACTACAGCGGCTTCAAGTATTTCACATTACATAGAATACTCTGTATAAATTAGTTAACATATACTTTCAGATCCTCCATATTCAGACATATACTATGGCATATATACAGAGTACAATAAATGCTTGCTCATGTTGTGTTTTTAGTTTTCCTGGTAGTGAGATGTTTGTTTTGCGTTGTTTTTTTTTTGTTTTTTTTCCTGTGTAGAGAAATCCCTGAGAACGTTCTGGTTTCTAAATGTTCTACACAATGAACTAGAACAGCGGCGAGTCCAATTTCAACGATTCACATGCACAGAGGGAAGTGACACTGGCCTGGTCTGAAAATACCACACAGCGATGGCTGCGGAGATGAGTGTGGGGACAGCTCGGCTTCTGAGAGCCGTTTTCTTGCGAGGGCGGTGATGTGGGGGTAATGATGCGAAGGCAGTGACGTCCAGCAGAGCAGAGCACAGGAAGATTTGTGGGAATCTAACTCAAGAGTTTCCACCTAAAGGGATAGAGCTTGGATCTTTTAAACTGAGATTTTGTGGAAAGGTTATGAACAACATCTGATTGGCTCGACAGCTCTTTGAACCACCTCAGTTTGGAGAAACATTCTGGCACATTTGATAAGCTCACAGCTAGTCCGAGGGAGGCCAAGAGCAAAGTAAATTGCAACCATCTCAAATTTTATTTAAAAATTTCATGGAAATTAGCTTAAAAAAATCATTACAACACTTTGAATTTTGCATTTTCAAGTTATGGTTCTGTTAGAAAGATGAAATTCCTTCTATAGCTACAGATCGCTTCTGCTTAGGGGTGCACGATATTATCGGAATGGTATCAGAATCGGCCAATGTTAGCGATAATGTTAAATATCGGACATCGGACGTTACATCAAAATAACTCACCGATTTAAAAGGTGCTGATATATATATAAAGGCGCTATATATTTATATGTATATATATATAAAAGGCGCTGTTTTGTATGACAACCCAGCGACAAGGACGCCTGCTGCACCAGCACAACATTATGACGTCACGTGCCGTTGAGATTTGTGAAAATTTACAAATTTGCACTGTTAAAAGTGTTGTCATTGTGTTAGAGAGAGTAAATGTCATGAATAAGTTTGACATTAAACATAATCCAAGTTGAAGTGTTGCATCATTTTCAGCCCCCTTTTTGGCATCTGCATTTGGTAGAAGGTCAAAATGACAAAGACCATGCAGAATAATGTAGGATTTTAATTCCACAGCAGAGAAAACTATGTAGTCTCTGTAAGTAGGTCTAGAAAAACATATATTGTTATTGGTATCGGTCAAATAAGCTTTAACATATCGGCGTATCGGATATTGGCCAAAAATTCAATATCGTGCATACTTTTGCTGCTATTCGCCTTTCCAAATAACCTTAAAGTCCTGTAATATGAAACTGTTGGTGGTGTGAATGTGTTCAAATACAACTGGCATGAACTAATGAGACATGTCTGAGATTGGAGTTATTCTAAGACAATAGAAATCCATCGTTTTCCCACTCCATTCGGACTAGACGTTAGCTTGTCAGGTCTGTCAAAATTAAACTCGGTTTCTCCAAACTGAGGTTGTTCAACAGAACCCCACGTCAAAAGATCTCAGAGATCGCTTTAACATTGGACTTCTACAGTGTTTTGTCTTTTTAATTAACACTGTGGGCTATTACAGCTGATAAATATCATGTTTGTAATAATGGAAACAAGTTCAATACCCTATTGTGAGGTAGTCATCTCCCTTTGGGAATTTCTTCAATAACAACAACAAAAAAAAACCTTTGCTTTATCAGTCCAATGTTAGAACTAATGAGTTAATAAGTTTTAAATTTGCCTGTTTGTCATCACTGCATACTGTCGTCTGTCATGGAACTGGTTTGTTTTACAGAGGAAGGCTAACATGAGTTAGCTAAGAGCATTGTTTGTTTGGAGGGAAGCTAATGCCTGGAACCTAGAGAAAGCTAATGGCTGCTCAAGTGCTGCTGCTGAGCATGAAAAAAATTGCTGAATGCGGCTTTCCGTCAGTGCTGACCCAAGCTGTGCCGAGCCGAGCTAGGCTGTGCAGTGCTGCCCAGTGCCCACCAGCGAGGGCCTAGACAAAGGGAGGTGCTCCGTGTGGTTTAAAGCCTTAGTTTCTCTTTGAGGATACCGAGACGTTGCCATTGTTTTTCTTCTTCTGTATTTTTTTGTTGTTTTGTTGGTTTTGTTTTTACATGAGCGCTATTGTACAAAGGCTTCAGCCACTCGACATCATAGAACTCAACATACACAGAAATAGGGGGGAGAAAAAAAAAAGATTTAAATCATAGAAAAAAGAAACAAAAATCTTTAAAAGCCGTTTCACTTTTCATTTTCATCTCGCACACATGTAGAGAAATACACACAACATTCACAATGTGACAAATTTCCTCTCTTCTGAAAAATAAAAACACTTCTGTACACAGAGTAGTAATAATATTAATAATAATAATAATAATAATAATAGTAATAATGTTTATAACAATAATAACAGCAAGAACAATAATACCGCATGTGGCTCTGTTGACTTTTTTTGTCATCTTTTGCTTTCTCTTTTTGCTTCATGTTACAAGTCACTTCCTTCTTACGTGTCTGTTAGTTCAAAAGAAGTTCAAAAGGCAGACTCAAGTTAATAGAAAAGTACTAGCTTGGAAGAGGAGGGTTTGACGACCCCCAGCCTCACCTCAGCCAAACCTCTCCCTCACAAGCATCATCAGCTTCTTTTTGCCCTTATAGATCTGTTTCAGGTTGTCTATGAACTGGGTGAACTGAATGTGTCCGTCGTGAGCCATCATAAAAGTCTCCCGGGCCTTTCCCAGGAACTCGATGAACTCGCTGTAGTGGCGAGGGCTAATGTGCGTAAGCCGCGAGTGCGTGGTGTTAATGTAGGCCCCGATGGTTGCGTCCAGAAGCTGCCTGAGCGGCGCCTTGTCCAGCGACATCAACTTCCCAGAGTTCCTGCGGCTGTGCAGCGCCGACACCATGCCCGGCGTGGTCAGCGTGCATCGCCGCAAAATGTCCGAGAGCACGGTGGCACACTTCACGCTTTTCACCACCAGGGGAATGACAGCAGCCAGCTCGTTCTTGCCCAGCGTGTGGCTGAGTGCACAGGCCCACAGTACGTCATTAATGGCTGGGTGCGTGTCCTGGTTGTAACTGAGGTTCAGATGAGCCATGGCTAACGTCGCTAGTTTGTACGCTCTCATCGGGTAGCCACGGTGTTCCATGTAGCGTGCAATGGTGAACAGTTGTGTGTAGCTCATTCCTGTTGCTGCAGCGTCCAGTACAATCTGGTAGGCTGTCTCGAAGGCAATGTGGTCCTTTTCACAGAGTGTCAGAGCAGAGAGGGCGCAGTTCTGTGGGTCCTTCATGGCACACTGCAGGGCGAGTGTGCGTGCAGATGAAGCCAGGTTCTCCTGCTGGTGGCAGTCAAGGTGGAGGCGGACGATAGTGCTGTTGGACATGACTGTAGTAGCCACGATGCTGGTGGCTTCTGTAGGGGTGAAGAGGGTGAACCAGCTCTGCATGATGCTGTCCAGTGCGTAGACACCTGGAGAACACATATTGGGTAGTATGAACAAAACGTTAAAGGGAAATCAGACAAACAAACGCATGCATCTTGGTAAAGGACTTACCAACTTCAGTGGCACATGTGACTAACCAGCGCACCATCTCTCTCCTCCTCCAGTTTAATGTGGACAGGGTTATTCTCATCACCTGAAGAAGCCAAAAACAATAGACCAACGAGAAAGAGACCATCATCAAAAGCACATATCAATAAAGCATATGATATTGTATTAATGCAAACAGCAAAGTTTTAAAACTATTTTATTTCTATCTTTCTTATTGGTCTCCTCTCTCATATCAGTGTTTCTTGTTGTGCGATTTTTTTATGAAGCATTCACACTATTGAGATCCATTTTTCTTCCGTACGTTTTTCGGCATCTTTCTTGTTCCATAATTTCTGTGCCATTTCAACAAATCGTATAACAAAACATTCAGCTCTTTCAGGAGAAGGGTTTAGCTTTTTGAAATATTTAGCCTTTTCTGCCACTTTTTTCCTTATAGAAAATGAATTGAGCTCATTTTACATCCTTTTAGCTCTGTTTACAACCTTTTACTGCTCCTTTCACATTTTGTTCTGGTTAAGCTTCTTTCAGCTTCCTTGTGCAAATTAAAACTATTTTCAGCTATTTTTAGCTGGGGTTTTTTTCCAGCTTTTTTGTGCTACTTTTTGATGTATTCTACTAACTACAACATTTTTGTGTTTCTTCTAACTTCTTTCAGCTAATTTCAGCTTATTGTGCTCCTTTCAGCTTATTCATGCAAGTTTCAGCCTTTTCTGCTATTTCAGCTACTATTTAGCCTTTTGAACTAATTTTAGCTATTTTGGCTAGTTCCACATTTTTTGCAAACATTTCAAATTTTTAGCCTAATTCAGCAAAAATGTGCTCTCCACTTCCTTTTAATAATTTAAGCTTCTTTCTGATTTTTTAGCTACTTTTCAGTTGTTCTTTTTCTGGGTGTGCAAATTTCAGCTTTTTTTCAGATTCTTTCCACTTTTTGTGCTCACTTCTGCTTCTTTCAGCCTAATTGGGCAGTCATGTTCTTTTTGCTTTCTTCTGCTAATTTAAGCTTCTTCTACCTTTTCAGCTACTCTTTTTTTTTTTTTTTTTTTTTTTAGTATTTTTAGCTAATTTCAGCTGTTTTCAGAAAAAAAATTTTTTGTGGTAATTTCTGCTACTTTCAGCCTAATTAACTTTTTAAGCTCGTTATGCTCCTTTCAAGTTATGTCAGCTCCTTTCAGGTTTTTCTGCTATTTCAGCTACTATTTAGCTGTTTTTATGCTAATTTAATCATTTTCAGATAAATCCACATTTTTTGGGTTAATTTCAGCTCTTTTTGCTTCCTTCTGGTATTTTAAGCTTCTTTATGCCTTTTCAGCTACTTTCAGCTATTTTTTTCAAATTTCAGCTTTTTTTTAATCAAATTTCCTAATTTTTATGCTAATTTATGCTTATTTAAACCCAATTCAGTAAATAATTCAGCAAAAATGTGCTCTCCACTTCATTTAATAATTTAAGTTTCTTTCTGATTTTTTTTAGCTACTTTTCAGTTGTTTTTAGTGCGTGTGCAAATTTCAGCTTTTTTTCAGATTCTTTCCACTTTTTTGTGCTCACTTCTGCTTCTTTCAGCCTAATTGGGCAGTCATGTTCTTCCTGCTTTCTTCTGCTAACGTAGGCTTGTTCTTCCATTTCAGCTACGTTTCAGCATGTATTTTTTTTTGTTAATTTCAGCTGTTTTTCAGCAAAGTTCTTCAGCAATAAGCATTTACACTGCATTTTCGCAGGAAATGTGATTTCTCTAATTTATGTTGCTTTGGTTCTTTGAGATTTGTGAGTTATCATTGATGAACAGCTCTGTTTTCACCCATTCAAATGGTTAGAATCAGGTTAAGGTCTGAATTATCGCAGCACTCTGTAGTAGGTTCAGGGTTGGGCCAGTGATTATTGTATTTTAATTTACTTGTTACTTGTTTTAAGCTGCATGTCATCTATGCACTCTTGTTTCACTCTTTATTGCTTGGGCATACTGGAAGTTCAAAATGAACGATTCAAGTTCCCTCCTTGGCATTGTGTTCCCACACCTGAACAATCCAGACCAACAAACTGTCAAAACTTTCATTTTTATAGAAGTCTTTATTCAAGCTAAAGATCACTTGACGATTGTTTTTGATTGTTTGTACAGCATCATCAGCAGAATCACTTTTTAAACTTTATGTTGTATGTATTCTATATTTTGCATACAACCGGTAAATACACTCTAAGGCCTGAAGGTGGATTTGTTTTGAAGATGACACAAACACTCACACCCAATTTACTACTTAGTCTCATCAGTCCTTATCATATATCCATTGCAGCTGCGCTATCAACACTCCAGTTTATGTTTGCAGCTAAAGCACATTGCCAGCATATGTGCACATTGCTGTGGCGCATATTCTCAAGTCTGCTGGTGTGCAAGGAGAGCCTTTTTCAAACAAGATGAGGACGGTTTTCATTTTTAAACTTGTGCAATGAAACCATCAGAAAAGAGAAATGTACAGATAAAGACTTGTCCAGCAGCCGTGATGTGTCTGCACACCTGTAGTCCGAGCTCCAGCGAGACTTTGAGGAGTGTAATGTCCGGCAGGCTGTCCATGAGAGTTGCAATCTTGAACGCATCCTGCGCCAGTTTGAAGATGTGAGACGAGGAGTGGATGTTTTTCTGGATGGACTCCAGAACCGTCTCCAGCCTGCGACTGTCACCTAGAATAGAAACAAACACACGACACAGTTAGGCTGGATCAGATCAGAGATTACTACTGCACTTCTTTGTATATACGTGCAAAAGAAATGTGCACCTTTGGCAGCAGTGAGCATGGTGGAGGCCAGCTCGCACTGCTGAGACTCTATATGGCTCAGGGTGAACCAGCGAGGGTAGCGGTTGGGAACTACAGACACAATGTGGTGTGGTCTTGAGAGATCACCTGATGAAGCTGTGGACTCCAACACGGGCAACCTAATGGAAAACATGCACAAGAAAATTTAATGCAGTCCATTTTATCATTACCCACTGCAAAATGTGCCCACGTGTTTGTTTGTCTGCAAGTTGACAAAATATATTAGGGTTGACATGAACAACTGATTAACCTTTGAACTCAGCCTACTTCAACATGGCTGTCACAGCCAACTGACATTAGAGAACACAAAAAGAGCTATAACTCAGCCAGTCTTACAGATGTTGAGCTCAAATTTGGAGTGACTGTAGTTGAGCATCATCCCAACCAACGCATGCTTTGAGCCCAAAATATTGTTGTTTAAAACCTTGGCATTAGATGTTGGAGTCAAACCTGTTTCTTAGCAAAGTCTCTCTTAAATCACTGGACAGATTTCATCGAAACTCTCAGAAATCAAGTCTTAGGTATATGTCTACCACTGATTAACATTAGTTCAAGGTGGAGGCCACAAATAATCACCGTGAGCCTACAGAACAATGATTATACCTGTGTGAATTTTACCGATATTGATAAATGTTGGTGTGGTAGGAGCAGTCAGTCAACACATACTCTAAATGCTAACTGATTATGACATTTATTGCATCAGATATTCAAGGATTGACCAAAATGGCTGTAAACGCCATAATTTCTCAGCATTAGATGTCTAAAACACTAACATGACATAAGGTGAGCGAAATGCATTTCTTTCAGGCAAGCCAGGCCTTAAATTAAAAAATATATTACATACAGTAATCCCTCGCTACTTTGCGGTTTGTTTATCGCGGACTCGTTCTATCGCGGTTTTTCAAAATAAGATTGGACATGACACACGATTGGCTGATTGATGGATGAGCCGCATAATCGGCATGGAATTTTTATTTATTTATTTTTTTAATTTATTTTAAATTATTTAGCACCTGCTGCACCTTTACGTAGCCCATACAGCAGGATAAATTTCCTGCTGCAGCTGATCAGCTGTTCACCGTGTAGAGCAGAGAAGTGGGAGTGGCCAAGAGTGCTTGCAGGTGGCAAATAGCAGAGGAGGAAGGGAGTTGAAATCATGACATTCTTGCTCTTTTAGTGTGTTTAAAAACATTGTTCAGAATATATATATATATATATATATATATATATATATATATATATATATAGAGAGAGAGAGAGAGAGAGAGAGAGACGTGTGTAAAAAAAACCTATTACTATTCGTACTTTGCGGTTTTTCACTTACCGCGTGTCTTCAAGGTACGGCTCCCCCACGATAAACGAGGGACTACTGTATACAGTTTTGTAGTTCTTGCAAAAAAGCTGCACTTTAACAGTTATGTGAAGAAAAATTATGACAAAAGTTTCCCAAATTCTCAGCATCAAACTAAAATCGTCCCTTTCTTCTTAGCATAATAAGCAGACAGACAGAAAGACTGTGTAGACAGAAAAAGGTCTTCATTATGGTGGTCTGAAAGGGACTTCAAAATGAAAATGACTACAGTCTTCACCGGGGGATTTTAGTTACCCTAGCCCTGCAATTTACTTTCAACCTACTGTTTAATCACCAAGAAACTAAGGTATAATTAGTATTTTCTTCACTCTAATTGGTCATAATGAAGTCAGAGTTGTGCAACACCTGCTGGAGGATGGAGGAGCTTCACAAGTTTCTGTCTCTCATTATAATAATCCAGACAGGGCCGAGTCTTCACAAGCGTCAGGAGCATGACACGATTACCACTGTGGCTGGCTCATCTCCTATTCTCCTTCACCCCCCCCCCCCCACACACACACACACACACCCCACAGCTCCCACCTCAGTTTCAAAGGTCTTCTTTCCTTCAGAAGACAGCACAACCTGGCCTTCTCTCAGCCAATCACAAAGCTAATTGAGTCCACGGGGAAATTAAGGAATTCACCTTCCAGCCCTGTAAGACTGGACACACATCAAACAAATACCAACACACATCAATGAAAAGAGCCGGAACACACACACGCACATGCACGCACACACACACCTGCCCTTTTGAGAACACATCAAAGCTGCTCGGTAAAGGCAATGTGATGCTAAATGCCAGTTTCAATTTCAGAGCAAAGTGCATGTGTTACTGTTGCCACGTGAGTGAAGGCATGTACAAAAACAGACCCGTCTTCACTCGCTTTGGACCACGAGTGGGCAAGCAGGGCTCAACTCCCAAAGATAGGTGATGAAAAAATGAAAAGAAAAAAAAAGCCCACAGCTGAGACACGAGCGAGTGTGAACATCGGCACTGAGATGCAACAGCAGGGTTCATTCTACGTACAACTGAAGAGATGCTAAAAGCTTCCACCACACTGGGGCCTTCTGGAAGATTCCTCTGGTTAAAAAGGGGGCCTTGGGTAAAGATGGAGGCCTCATCAACATTCCTGTCTTTGTTTGGTTTTCACCAGAGTCTGAGGCCTCTATTGGATGGGAGCTTGAGAGAGAACAGGCCCATTAGAAAAGAAAAAAAAAAAAAACCTTTTAAATATTTAGGAGAAAAAATACATGGTATTGTTCAACAAGAAACAACAATAGGATGAAAAAAATCCTTATGGGCTGCAGTGAAGCATTCTATTAAAGCACAGTTTACTCACATGTTCATCATTCTCAGTATAACCTCTGCCACACTTGTAAATACTCTTGTGTGCAACGATTCATATTCTTAACCTTTTGACAAGGGTGCTAAACGCCAACTCAAAGTCACATTTCTGTCGAGTTTTGTTGTTTAGAAAGTATTATCAATGATGCTAAAAATACCTGTGAATTAGTGAGGAGGCGTGTTTTCTTGCACATTGAAGGGGACTTAACACTACGAGACATCTGCAAGGCCTTGCAGAAAGTTGGCCCATGAAGTGAATGGGCAATTCATAAGATTCAGATTGTTTATTCAAATGCACACATGGGGAGAACTAAAAGTGTACAATTAGCAACACAGAAGTAGAGAAATTGCATGTCCTGCGACAATGCAGTGTGAATGCTTATTGCAAAACAACTTGCTGAGAAACAGCTGAAACTAAGTAAAAAAAACATGCTGAAATGTAGCTGAAATGGACGAGCAAGACTAAATTAGCAGAAGAAAGTAGGCAGAACACATATTTGGTGAAATAGGTTAAAAAAAAAAAAAAAAAAAAAATGAAATTAGCACAAAAACTAGGAAATTAGATTTTTTTTTTTTAAGCTGAAACTAGCGAAAAATGGCTGAAAAGTAGCTGAAAAGCAGAAAGAAGCTTTAACTACCAGAAGGAAGCAGGAAGGGCCGAAATGAGCACAAAAAAGTGGAATTAGCTGAAAAAGCTAAAATTAGCATAAAAACAGCTAAATAGTAGAACAAAGTAGTAAAATCTGAAACTAGCATAATTAAGCTTAAAGGAGTATAACAAGCAGAAATTATCAGAAAGAAGTTAATTAGGCTGAAAGTAGCAGAAATTACCACAAAAACTTGGATTTATCTGAAAACAGCCAAAATTAGCTAGAATTTGCTGTTTAAAAGGTAGCTGAACAGGTAGAACAAGCTTAAATTAGCAGAAGAAATCAGAAAGAAAATGTTTGCCCAGTTAGGCTGAAAGAAGCAGAAATGATCACAAAAAAGTGGAAATTATCTGAAAAAAAGCTTAAATTAGCAAAAAAACAACTGAAAAGTAGCTAAAATGGCAGAAATAAGTTTAAATTGCCAGAAGGGAGTGGAGAGAGCACATTTTTGCTGCATTAGGCAGAAAAAAGTTTAAATGAGTGCAAAAAAAAATTGTTGAATTTGTTGAAAAAGCTGAAATTAGCAGAAAAACAGCTAAAATAGCAGAAAAAGCTGAAACTTGCAGAAATAAGCTGAAAGTAACATAAGTTGAAATTAGCAGAAATAAGTTAGACGAAGCACAAAAATGTTATCGTTAGCAGAAAGAATCTGAAAGGAGCACAAAACAGCTGAAAAAAACAGCTGAAAGTAGCTGAAAAAAGTTGAAAATTTAAAGAAAGCTGAAAGAAGCTGAACTAGGACAAAATGTGAAAGGAGCAGTAAGATTGCACACAGATCTAAAGATTTGAAGGATGTAAAATGAGCTCAATTCCTTTTCTATGAAAAAAGTAGCAGAAAAGTCTAAATATTTCAAAAAGCTAAAGTTGCACCAGTACCAAAAGTCAAAGCAGGATTGTTCTGAATGAACTGAATGTTTTGATATATGACTTGTTGAAATAGCACAAAAATTGTGGAATGAGAAAGATGGTGAAAAATGTACAGAAGAAAAATGGATCACAATAGTGTGACTGCTTCATAAACATTCACACAATAATGAGACGATGAGAAAACACAACCCAAAAAGTTGCCTTTTTTTATATATACCTTAATCCTGTGACTCTTTGGGTTTCTGGTCTGCATCACCATGACTACTGACCTCTTTACCTCATGTTCCTCTCTCCTCATCGACTGTAAACACCCTTCGCTTTCACAGTTCGTCAAGCACACATCTATCAGCTGAACGACACATCCGGTGGAAGAGCTCCACTGTATACACAGACTCCTTCAGGATGAAATCTTCAAGAGGCATCGAGTCAAACCGGTGAGGCAGCTTGCTGTTTCTTCTCTCTAAGGTCTGTAATCCTTCAAATAACATTTTACATTTTAGTAGTAGTCCCTCGCTACTTTGTGGTTCGACTTTCAGGGACTTACTCTATCACGGTTTGTGAATGTACAGTACATAATATTGCACAACAACAAAAAATATATTGTACAAGACACACGATTGTCAACTTTAATGTTACTCATGTGATTGGGACACTGGATACAGTACTGTACAGTAAAAAGTTAACAAAAATTAAAATACTTCAGACAGGTGCCACCATTTTGTAGTTGTCTCTCAGTAAGCCTACACTGTATTCCTGCTCATAACGACCACATTTCCCAGAAGGCAACAGGGCCCCACCCAGAAGCCCCGATTTCTTCTACTGAAAAAAAACAGAGGTAAAGTTTTGATCTGATTGGAAATAGTTTGGCGCTTATTACAGTAACTTTGGCACCCAGCAGAAGCAGAGAAGGAATGGAACCCACCAAGCGGGAGCAGAACCGGAGCAGAACCAGACCTCCAGACCCATTGGTGAATCTTGAGAGCTGGTAGTCGGCTCACAAGGAATTCCGAGAGGGGACATGTGCCGCCAAAGGTCCAGTGCTGTTTCCATAGCCCATCGGGACTTTTTTTATCCAGACTTGGACTCAATTAATCACCTACGGTCCCGCGCCGGCCAACCCAAGGTCTGGACTTCCCCAAAATGTGATTTGGTGCTCAGGAGCTGCAATAAACTGGACCAGAACCGCACCCCCAGACTCAGAGGTGAACCCGAGAGCTCCTAGCCGGCCCATGAGGACCTCCGAGCAGTGACGAGCCGCAAGTAAAATTTAGTAGCTACATACAAGTATGTTGTTAAAATTAATAGGTTTAAAGAGTTAATAACGTTGATTGTGGGCTTTGTCTGCAGAAACGAATAGAGTCGGATCGGAACAGTTGGACCAGAACTGAGAGTCGCTCCTGTTCTGCAGAGTTGTCAAGTAAAATGTAGTAGCTACATCCTGTACGTACTGTATGTTATTAAAATGACATAGGTTTAAGAGTATAGAACACTGCAAGTGTGAGAAGCGTTTCTAAAGCCTTTAAATGTAATTATGGCTTTATAAATTATTCAGACATATAGTCTTTAAAAGGCATTGAGTCATTTTGCTGCTTTTAGCTTTTAGCTAGTGTTCTTCTTTTAGTGGCAACCTCTCAGTTTCAGCAAAGTCACTCAGCTCGCAGCTTTCACACTGCTTTATTAGTTGTGGCAGAAAATGTGATTTCTCTAGTTGTGTTTAGAGTCAGAAGGACATTTTAATAAATATAAAAAAGATAAATCAGAATGTCAGGGTACAGTGGTACCATGTTCATTGAGGAATAGGCAAAAGTACGGTAACTTAAAATGGGGTGTTTATCTCTTTATTGATTGATTGCGTAATCATTTGGCAGGTCAAATTACACAACAAGAAAAAAAGACCAACCTGTCACAAACACTAACCTTGCTCATCTTTTGGTATGATAAATAGCTTCTACATTGAAACTTTATTGATTATTCAGTTGGGATGCACGATATTATCGGCATGGTGTCGGCCGATATTAATGATAAAGTTAAATATCGGACATCGGCCATTCTATCAAAATAATTCGATATAAAAGGTGCTGTTTTTGTTTGACAAGGATGCATGCAGCGCCAGCACAATGTTACGACAATACGCGAGCCGTTGAGTTTAGATTTGAGAAAATTTACAAATTTGCACTGTTCGAGTATTGTCATTGTATTAGAGAGAGTAAACGTCATGAATAAATTTGACCTTAAACATAATCCAAGTTGAAGTGTTGCATCATTTTCAGCCCCTTTTTGGCATCTGCATTTGGTAGCAGGCCAAAATGACAAAGACCGTGCGGAATAATGTATTTTAATTCCACAGCAGAGAAAGCAATGTAGTCTCTGTAAGTAAGTCTAGGGGAAAAATATTGGTATCGGTTATCAGCCAAATAAGTTTTAACATATCGGCATATTGGATATCGGCCAAAAATCCAATATTGTGCATCCCTATTACAAAGTATTCATAGGATTGAAGGTTGTGGATAAGAGCTCTTCAAATGAAAATCCCACGTAGTAACAGGCTGTTGGAGTTTGTGTTTTTGGCCCCCAAAGATTCATCATAAGCACCATCTCTGCAAAGAGACTCTTCTTCTGTTTCTCTGGCTGAAGTCAAATTCTGGGCAGCCTGTGAACCAGTAGGCAGATACACCCCCCCACCCCCACCCCCCGACCACTTGCACCGAGCCAACGCACGACATATGTTGCCGTCACACACACTAATTAACCCCATCCAAGGCACATAAACATACATATGCAGTATTTTAGAACATTTGCATACCAAGGCAGACACGGCAACCCGTTTAAAAAGAAACCTGCTCTTAGAGCAACTGTGACGGGGAAGACAAATCGAGAAAGCAAGAGTAAAGAAAAATACGTGTGTATGTGTGTGTGTGAATGTACCTGATTAAAAAAAAAAAAAAAATCTCTTTTTATCAATGATAGTGTTATAATGAGTCCATTAAAATATTCCTGGTTACTTTACCTCCTCCTCTATATTTAACTGTCCCATGGGAGGGAGGAGGTATAAGCTATCACATTACACTACGCTACATTACACTCATTCATTATGTGCTGAGCAGACACCTCTGGTTCCCAGGAGCACCCGTAAGTGGCCGTATTATTCTAAATCGCGAGTTTCACACCAGAGGAGTGAGGATGAAGGAGGTGAGGAGACCAAAAAAAAAAGGTGAGAGGAAGTGGATAGGAAGAGAGTGGCTGACTGGAATAACAGGTTGGAGATGCTGGTTTGGAGGTCAGAAAGCAACCTTAAAACCACGCGGGGATAACAACCACCTAGTTTCTTTTTTGTAAGCATATTATCCTGGTGCCTTCTTTACAGATGGAGGGATGTTATCTTTCAGTTCTTCATCTGCTCCATGCATCTACTGATCATTTATCACGCAGAGAAGCTCAGCTTCAAGAAAACACAACAAATATCTTACCCCCGCCGCCCCAACGCAACCTTCTCCCTGTTGGCTCTCCATGTGTATACGTGCATGGATTCCTCCTCATTACAGCTGTGCTAATTACGCTCTCATTAATGTAATTAATATTCACTCATGCAGCTCCCACAAGTCACAGCATCAAAACACAACAGCGTGGGCTGGATAACACACATGTACACGCTGTCCACAGATGATCCCACACAGGAGCTGGATGTGGAGTGCTCACATGGACAAGGTGCATATCCACAAACTCAAGGGCGTCCCATGGCAAAGCAGAACGCATTAAAAAAAAACCCACACAAGTGTTTTTTTGTTATGTTTCGTCTATGACAACCTAAAACTGTGAAGCACGATTCATTTGAATGCAGCCCCATTTACGACTAAGAGGCTGTGAAAATGTAACCTAACCTCATAAACCCATATGTTTTTCACATTGAAACATAGTAGGCAAACGATTCTCAGCTACTAATTCCTGAACTAAAAAGATATTAGTTTTCATTTACAAGTTTTTGACATGAATACAATAAAAACTACAACAAAAGTAGAACTATATATATATATATATATATATATATATATATATATATATATATATAACCACATGGCTCTCAGTGCAATTTTGTACGCCAGTTCAGCGTCGTGAGGTAGCAGAGAGGTGAAGAGATAGCGGGCGAAGGTGTGCATTGGGACACTCTCTCTGTGGACAATCTCTCCGAGGCCAGAGTACGGACCAGCTGTTTAAAAAAATAAAAAGTAAAAAAAATAGATACTTGATCGACAAAACAAGCAAAAAAAACACAATTTTACCTGAGTAATTAGAGGATCTTCCTCTCCTCATATATAAACAGAATGAATCGCACATTTCTATGTTGTTGAGTCATGATTTTCTGTTTGAGTGACTATCCGGTCTTTCCTCTTCAGCCCGGAAGAGGCGAAGCCACGTGGCATTAAAACCAAACTGTGACGTCGAAAACATATGGTCGTGTGTGCAGACTTGGCCTCTTGCCCTCCTCTCTTCCTCCGCCTCTTCCTGCACTCCCCCTCATCTCTGGTGGGTTATTTTAAACCCCAACGGGCCTCTAAACCGCAGACCACATCACAGAGTGGCGCGGCTGCAGCCTCCTGGGGCCCACGGAGGCCTCAGAGCTGAGTGCTCTGTTAGTAAAAATGCCAGAGGTGGGTGGTCGCGCCTGGGATGAGGCAGGGCTGGGGTTTGGGTGGGGACAGGGCTTGGAGTTTGGCTCTTCCAGTATGTATCACCATCACCACCACCACTACTACCGTCCTCCTCTCCTCTGCATAAACACATTCTGTGTGTGTGTATTCGCTGACACAATACCCCCGGTGTTGCTGCGCAAAGAGCTTGTTTAGGACCGGCCCAGAACGGCTCTGCCTCTTATTTGCACCACAAAGTGAAAAGATAATAAATAGTGAGACGGAGTCAAAGGTGTTTTTCCTGTTATAGCAAGAATGTCTAAGCTCCGTCTGTGCAGGAGCGTAGTTAAAAATGGCAGGGAGGTTTTTTTTTTTAATGAAAAAAAAGTTATGATTTGCTCATCTCAGCCCAAATTTGGTCTACAATGGAACATGAACACACGAAATGCTAAAACAAAAACATTGTACCATTTTTTAGGAAAATTTAAGTTTATTGTGAGTAAAATATGAGTTTATGAGAATTGAAAGTCATTACCTTTTATATATTTGTTATTTGCATTTTATACTACATTCCATCTTTTTCAAAGTCTGGGTTGTATAAAAAGGACTTGAAGGTAAACAAAAAAAAAAACATTTTGCTCTCTTCCTCACCTTCCAGCAGAAAGACTGCCTGTTTACGGAAGATTTTCACCAGGGAGTCGTCCAATTCCATTTCCTGTAGCTTGGCCAGTAGCTGCTCTTCGTTCCGACACACCTTTTCCTGAGCGTACAGCCCATCGGGCATCACCCGCTGCTGGCCTAAGCCGATCAGAGCCGTCTCCACTGCCAGCGCAGCGTACGACTCACCGTCTCCCAGCAATCGCTGCACGGGCATCCGCTGCAGGTCGGCTCTGCTCACGACACTGGAGCAGTCTGTGGAGTTCAGAGAGGACGGAGCATTGAGTCAAGACAAATCTGAGGGGCTAGCCTCGATACATTTGAAAACATCAGGGAAAGAGAAGATGATGCACAGAACAAGTAAAACTTGTAGGAGAGGACAACTGGAAAACTGCAGGAAGGAAACAAAGACAAGATAAGAGCCAAAAGATAAAGCAACAGTGAAACTATTCTTTCTTCATTTGCATTCGCTAAACTTTTCTTTACTATAGTCAGCAAAGAAAAGACTAAAAACTATACAATCTATAATCTTGTGTTTGGCACACAAAGTTAAAATGCACAAATGCCTGTTTACACTATACTCCCATAATGATAGATCTTCTTCATCTTGTTTAATGCAATGCTCAGTATTGCTTTGTTTGTGGTAGTTATATCATCCCTACATGTCATAATACATCACACACCTCTTCCAGTCTGTCAGACATTTCACTTGGAAGTCAAAAAGAAAGACTTGTTGCCTATAGTTAAGTTTGCAGCATGTCAGATGCTTGAATTCAGTTGGAGTACATCTATCAGTACCTGAGAGGTCTAAGCAGATGTTGGAGCCTTCCTCGCCTGCTCGTCCCGACTCCGTCAGAGTGCTGAACAAGGTACCGATAGGATCCAGAGGGTGTCCCACCCAGCCCTCCATGTTGGTTATGGAGGTATGACCTTTGTGGAGTAACTCTAAGACAAGCCGAAGCACATTAAGACAATTATTGACACATTTCTTTGGAGTAACTGGTATGTAAATAGTAAATAGACAGTATTTTTATAACGCCTTTCTATCTAATCAAGATACTCAAAGTGCCTTACATTACAATCTGTGTCCTCATTTACCTCCACACACACACATATAGCACTGTACTGTTGATCCACTCTGAGACGGTGCTATTTAAGAGACTGAGCTGAATACAGCTCCTCAGACTGAGGAAGTCTCTCGGATGAGAGACGAAACGTTTCTACATTTTTTTGTTGATTTGCTTTGTTTTTTTTTGAATGTCCAGAGGACCAGATTTAACTTTTTTAGATAGCACTGTACTGCATCTCTACGAAGTTAATCTAAATCTGTAATCAGTGCTTTAGATCTCATTTATTCCCCGATGGGACACACATCAGGGGCAGTGAGGGGTTCAGTGTCTTGCCCAGGGACACTTCAGCATGTGACTGCTGGTGGAATCGAACCCCCATCTCTTGCTATGGAGGACGGCTGCTCTAACCACTCAGCCACAGCTGCACCAAATGTCGGTTATGTCAGTTTTATGCACAGAAAATATTCAGTGAATATTGTAAATTATATGCAAACTGATAATGCAGTGCTGAAAAATAAACATAAATAACCTTACTGATGTCTCCCTCCATGTTCATATAAGAAACTATTAATTAAGCAACAAAATTTATTAATTCATGTCCTAGTCTACATTTTTTTTTTATGGTCTCTTTAAAAATAATAATTTATGTCACAAGATATGATGAATTTTTACACTGGAATCTCTAAAACTGATGAGCGTTATAGCCAATTTTGCGTTTTCCAAGTTCAGTTAGCTGTGGCGGCCATCTTGAATCAGTTTGACTCCAAAATTACCTTTGAGCAGATTTTAACACAACCTTGACTTTCTGGACATTCATTGACGTGACCCACCTTTTTTGTGCCGTCGAAAGTGCTCCAGCTGCCTCTGCTGCTGCCGCCGTAATGTGTTCACCACAGCAATGGCCAGTCGCAGGGCTTCTCGGGGGTAACCATGTGAGCGCAGCGCATCTACACGAGCACAAGCCGTTGGGACATGTTCTGTGGAAAAAAAATATCAATTTAACCCCGAATATATAAGACGTATTTTCCGCCGTACACGTCGCACCGCCCTATAAGTTGCATCAGTCCAAATACTGTATGTCAGCAAAATGAAGCTGATTTGACGATTGCTCCAGGCAAGCCGGACGAAAGTAGCAGGCTATGGTAAGCTGATTGTATCATTAATAGTCACTTTTACCTATTACATGTCACAATGGCATGCCATACTACTCGAGTGCCATCTAGCGGCTGAAAATGATAGTGTTATTTTTTTTTCAGTCAGAATGAATGAAAACAGTCTAAAAAAGTTAAGTCTGATTCTCTGGACGGGTTCAAAAAACAAAAAATTGTAGAAACGTTTTGTCTTTCGTTCGAAAGACTTCTTCAGTCTGAGGACGTTTCTACAAGTCTTTCGGATGAAAGACGAAACTCTTCTACAATTTTTTTGTTTTTTGAACCCGTCCAGAGGATCAGACTTAACTTTTTTTTAGATTTTTCTACCTGGGTTATTGAGCATGCATCAGGATATAATGAAAACGGTTATATCTCAGCCAAAAATTAGTTTATAAATATGGGAAAAAAATACATAAATGTGTCACTTCGGCGTATAAGTTTCAGGGCATGCAAATTATGCAAAATAACGTTACTTATAGGCCGAAAAATACGGTACATGTTCTTCAACAGGTTTTGATTGTTCACACTCCAGCTTCTGAGTAAAAAACACCCATAAGACATCGACATACGCACAGACTCACCATGCCATAAAGGCCATCCACGTGAGTCAAAAAGGGAGCCCTCCAGGTTGTCGTGGTAACAGTAGTTGGCATAGAGGTCGCTGGCGATAATGTGCTGAAGGTGTCGGTCCTGCCAGTGCAGGTCGCAGGCCTCGATGGCTCGCGTGAACACAGTCCTGTGAGGGCGCATCTCTGCAGAGGGAGGAGGAGGAGGCTTAATGTTTCATCATTTTTAATAATGTTCTGAAAAACAAATGTGGCTTAAAATAATATGTTTATCCAGCAGGTTTTTCTTTTAAAAGCACCAAAATCAAACAAAAGACTTTTTATTTTTACAATTGCAATTAACGATAATTACTAGAAAACATGTCCGTCACCTGAAATGACTTCTACACTACAGGAAAATTAGTGTTTCACACTGTTTCATATAAACTGATACAAGGTTTCTCATGAAAACAAATAAACTATATTGTTTTTTTAAGAACAAAATAAAAATTCAAGGTCATGCATTCCTTGAAAGAATACATATCACCCGCTGCCAAAGCTGTTTTTATCAAACTTTAGACAAACTGTGATGAGCACGCAGCATCACAAGAAGTCATATTTAGAATGTGTTGTGATAAATAACTCTCAGTTACTACCACACAAAATTTTAGCTCAGATTCTGTCAAATTCACTGAGGTATAGCCATTTTTTAAATGAGCTGACTCCAAAAGGTCATCAGTTGTATATTAACAGCCAATAATACTTTGACAGTTTTATCACAATTTAGCCAGCAATTCATGAAAAATCATGCTAAAAGACAAGCGGGGTTGACTCAACAGTTGATGCCTAAGTTTTAAGCAAATATATTGTGTTCAATGCGTTTGTTAGGGACGATACTCAACTACTACCACGTCAGATTTTATTCAATATTTGTAAAATAGATTGATTTATAGCCATTTTTTTAAATTTCTAGGGTCAGTTGAATCGGATTGACAGGAAAATCTACATGGGTGCTTTAATAACTGAGGCACTCTTTCCTGCAAGTGCATATCGGGTTGCTCATTTAAAAAAAAACTATCTAACTTGATCGCTTGGATTAAAGCTAAACTAACGCATCGGAATGATCTTTTAACAGACTCTCCTGATGTAAAGCCTCTCATCTTTCCCAACTGACTTACTGCAACATGAACGCGTTATTGATGGACACACAAAACTTCTCCATCTCTGACCTTGGTTGCCATGAGCGCCTTGGGGCAGTGAGTGGGTGAGGTTGGGCAGCTCGTTGCCGTGGTTACCATCCTCCCAGGGGCAGACATCCACGCTGTTCCATCGGCGCAGCTGGCGCAGCCACGACGACTTCTGCTCCGCCTTACAGTGAGGGTTCAGTACGATGCACATCCACAGGGCACCTGGATACACAACAAACAGACTTGAGCAGCCGGCCCCACTTTGCCGTGGCAATGGTGTAAACAATTAGTCTAACAATGTAGGAAAGTGTGCCTTTAAAACCACGCAAATATGTAAAACTGAAAGCTCAAGGCACTGTTCAAGGAACGTTGCATCGTTTCTCGTCCCTTGGAGAAACGTCTCCATGCTGCCGCCATCTTTCTCTTCGATACAAATTTCTGAAAACAGAGAACTTAATTCATCCAGAGGCAACGCTGCCTGCGCACGCATCATTTGAGTAAATTGGAACAAACAGAATATGAAAAGTGGCTGCGTCTCTGGGGATCTGAATGCATTCAGGGATTTTACTCTCAAGAGTGCAGGAGATGTGTACACTCCACAAGCGAGTGGGTGACTGTGTTGCGCACGTGCACACAGTCAAACGGATTTTGGTTAGAAAGGACGCAAACAAGGACAGAGATGGAGTGTAACGAATGCCGAACATGGAGAGGAGCACGGGGGGGTGGGGGGTGGTAAGGAAAATGGAAGCAGAGATGATTTGCACAAGGAGATGCAGCTTTGTATCTAGAGGAGAACTTAAAGAAGAGTAAGACAAAAGATGGGGAGCGGCAGCGATGGGGAGCGTTCACACATCAGGCAGAGCGATAAGGACTTGGCAAGAAAGGTTTGAAGTGTGGACTTCAAAGAGACCGTCTTCTAAAAATACGTGGGATTGAAACAGATGAGATCACGCCGCTGTCCTCACAAAGTGCAGAACAAGAGCAAAGTTAAGAAATGATGAATAAATCAAAAACAAACAGCATCATCATCATCAAGAGCAGTAGGAAAAAAACAAGAACAAAGAGCGGAGACGATGCGACTGCCGTCCTGGTGATGGGCTTGTTGGTTTTGTGTTCTGCACAGTGAGTCTGTCAGAGGAGCTGTGCTCTGAATCAAACCGAACAAGTACGTGGTTAGCAGCTCTCTGTCACATCAACTAAAAATATAACGAGAAGTGTTTGACAACACCGCGGAGGTGAGGCACGGCGTGCTGCATTAAACGGATTTTTAATTCACAAAGATGTTGCAGAGCTGCCAAACCTAACAGAGACTGAAACTCTGAGCTGTCAGCGACGAGGACGTGAGTCGGAGACCGTGGGCTTTCTTGGACACAGAGGCAAAAAAAAACAGCAAACAGGGGAAATAAAAAAACATGTTTACTTTTGTGTCAGCATCTAGATTCGATCACCCACCTTGCTAAATCTGTCAAAGCCAGTGTGTGTCTGTGTGCGTACTTTTTATAGGAGTGTGTGTGATGTCTCCCCCCCTTTTCCTCCCTTTCCTCACCCAGCTCATCCCAGAGCTGTCTGTACTTGTCGGTCATGGTGGTGCCCTGCTGTCTCCACAGCGCCAGCCGAGGGTCGGCCATGAACTGCTCTGTGATCAGTGTTAACATCCTCGCTCCGTTGGAGTCACGCATCTTCAGCATCTCCCTCACCTGGACGAGGAGACGGGACACAGACCCACACACACACACACACACACTTGAAGTTTATACCAGCTGAGGCACAGATCGCCAAGAAGAACCCACAAACAACAACGAGCACGACTACAACATCACATGCAAGGTTTAGTTTGGATACTGTTTTTTATACAACACCATGTTTTTTTACAACTCAGTTCCAATAAAGTTTAGACATTTTCAAAAGTGGAAATTAAAAAATGGAATGCAAAGAGTTGAAAATCGTTCATACCCACATGCTATATTTAAATTAAGAAATTGTACCATGTTGGGTAAAAAAAAAATTAAGGTAATTTTGAGTTTGATGGCAACAAAGCTTGGGGACTGGGGCTACAAACGTCTGTAAAGGCAAGTGGTACGAATAAGAAACAGCTGGAGGAACATTTAGTTACAAATTAGATTAAATGGCAACACGTCTGTAAGAGGACTGGACTGGTATCAAGAACATTTTTGAGAAGTTAAATCTGTAAGAAGGAAAAACCATCCATCCATCCATTATCTTTTACCCGCTTCTTCCTTTTATGAGTCGTGGGGGGTCACTGGTGCCCATGTCCAGCTATCACTGTGTGAGAGGCAGGCCCTGGACAGGTCTCCAGTCCATCACAGGGACACATAGAGACAAACAGCCATTCACTCTCTTATTAACACCTAGGGACAATTTAGAGTTACCAATCAGCCTAACATGCATGTTTTTGGTCAGTGGGAGGAAACCAGAGTACCCGGAGAAAACTCACATATGCCCTGGACTGGGATTTGAACCAGGGTAACTTGCTCTCTGAGAGGCAGCAGCTCAACTAGTTGTGCCACTGTGCTGCTGAAGGAGAAACCAGTCAGTGAACAACTGTGTCTAAAAATGTGGAAAGTCTGAATATCCCATCATCCACAGTTCATATTATTATCATTAAATAATTTAAAAAATCTGCAGAAATCGGTGCACAAAGGACCAGACCGAAAGTCAATATTGGATGTCCGTGATCTTCAGGCCCTCAGGTGGCACTGCAATAAAAACAGGTCTGACTCTATGATCACTGCAGGACTGCTTCTAGAAATCATTGTCTCTATAGACAGTTTGCCCTGCCATCCACAAAGGCTGGTTAATGCTCTATCACGCAAAGAAAATGCACTATGTGAGCACCATCCAGAAATGTCACCATCTTCTCTGTGACAAAACGCATGTACAGTGGACGGAAGCGTTCTGCAGTCGGACAAATCAAAAATGTAAATTCTTTGTGGGAGCAGCCAATGTCACATCCTTTGTACTAAAGAGGAGAGGGACCATCTGACTTATTATCAGAACACAGCTGAAAACCCGGCCTCTCTGATGGTATGGGGGTGCATTATTCCCTCTGGCATGGGCAGCTTACTCATCTGGAAAAGGATAACTAATGCAGCAAATTATATGCAGGTTTTAGAACAACGTGCTCCCATCCACACATCTTTCACAGGAAAGGACTTTCAGCAAGACAGTGCTAAAACTACATCCATTACAACATGGCTTCCTGGTGCTGAACTGGCCTGCCTATAGTCCAGTCTTCGCACCAGTTAAAAACATTTGGTGCGTCATGAAACAAAAACAAAATCCAACAAGGAAGACCCGAGACTGCTGAACAGCTAAAACCTTACATCAGATAAGAATGGGACAACACTCCCTCCAAAAACTCCATCTGCAGGTCTCCTCAGATCCTAGACTGTTGTTAAAAGAAACAGGGATGCTTCACAGAGCTAAACATGGTCCTATCTCCACTTTATTATACAATTTAGTACTTTAAAGATTTGATCAATTGACTATTTAATTGTGAATTAAATGTGGGTTTCAGAGATTTTCAAACAAGTTCCTTCTCGCTTTTTTTTTTTTTTTTTTTTAAACGCAATGTCCCAATTTTGGGGGAATTGAGGTTGTATATTTTAAAAAACATTACATCTTGTCAGCATATATGTGGTTATCATTGTGCATATATATCTTTTGTTGTGTGTATGATTGAAGGCGGATGAAATTTAACTTGCAACAAAGAGCATGACGTTGAGAGACGTCCTAAAAGCCAGACGAGCTAGATGATAATGGCCTTGGCTTGCGGTCTTTACATAGCACACAAAGCATTAATGCCAGCCTGGCTCTAGAACTGTAATAGCAGACAAACAACTCTCATGTAATCGTTTAATCACGAGTACAGAGCCCTATATACTGCAAGCCTTCCTATTTTCTATACTTCTTTTTTTCCTCATTATTTAACACATTTTTTCCTCCTTCCTACAATTAGCTCAAGCTAAGCTCCAACCTGCCCTTTAATGTATATGCATTATGCGTTATCTTTTATTCCCATTTCTTCGGGGAATAAAAGATAATGCGAGTGCACAAAGGAGTGGGAGAAAGTATCTATTAAAAGGATGCAGTGAAACTAGACAAGAAAACCCAAAGGGAGGGTGGTAAACCTACACAGGCTGAGTGTGCTTGCAGCCGTGACCGACGGGGGCTGGTGTTTGCCGTGTGCATGTTTTTATGTTCTGTATCTGATAAATCAGTGCTCCGTTGGTTCTGACCTTGCTAAAGAGGAGGTTGAGCTGCTTGCCCGAGCCGTGGTAGCCTCCCTGCGACAGGAAGAGCTTAACCTGCTCCTGAACCTGCTCCTCATCCAGGTGCCAGCAGTTCTCATCGTCCACGCTGGCTCCAGCCGTGGGGTCCGGGGCCCCTATAAGCACATGAACAAATAAAGTTGTGGTACCTGCATTTTTCTTAACATCTTTTGTTTTCATAAAAAACGCAGCGTCGGTAGCAGAGAATAATCTGATTTACACAAAAACAAGATAAGATTCTGTATTATTTTCCATAACTTTATCCAACAACAAGCTAGCCAAAATGACTAAACAATTCCATCAAAGATCTTCCCACAAGAACAAAACCCGCCTACAAATGCAGTACAAATATGCAGTTTATCTTACATTAATATATGGTGTTATATAATGAGTCATTTGTGCAAGACATAAGACCAACAACTTTCTCAACATTATGAATAAATCAAGTACTGCTTCATTTAAAAAGTATTGAATTTAGTGCACACTCTTGTTGTGATGTTTTCAGCATTTGCATAGCTGAGGAAAATAATCCAGAGCAAAACTGCAACTTCTCTCTGTCATAGGAAATAAACTTTCATACAGAGTGGCATCATAAAGAACTATGAATGCAGTATTAACATTTGTCAACAATCTGTGTTATTGCATTTTAATAGCTGACTATGCAGAAGTTTAAAACCGCTCTTAATGTATTTATATTTTGTATCCATGGAGTCAGATTTTCTTGTGATCTTTTATCTAGAGCACAAATGCAGAGTATAAAAGTCCTGTAATGGGTTTGGGGTTACTTTAGGTTATATTTGTGAAGAAAAGTAAAAAGCTTTCCTCCATAAGAGGACATACTGGAGTAAAAGTGAGTACTGTAAAAAAAAATAGTCAAAGAAAAACGTTTAAAAGAACTTCAAGAGAAAAACGGATCAAGACCACCTCAAAATATTACAAGAAAGTTTGAGTCCTTTGGAGCAAAGTCAAAAAAAAAAAAGAGGTATCATTCAAAACCTTTGCTCATGTTCCTACAAACATCTCAGTAAAATGTGTGTTTCTTGTGGCAATATTGAGGAGTATTCAGAGACCATTCTGAGGTGGAACACCTGGAGAGCTGGTGCAGGTAGAACAACCTTCATATCAATGTGAAGAAGACGAAGGAGATGGTCATGGACTTCAGACGGAACAACCCCCACCTTGAACATAGGAGGATCTGCGGTGGAAGTGGTCTCCAGCCACAAGTACTTGGGTGTACACATGAATGACAACCTCAGTTGGAGCAACAACACCACCAGCCTGATCAAGGAAGCTCATCAGAGACTCTACTTCCTCAGGCGGCTGAGACGAGCTGGTCTGGGAAGCTCAGTCCTCACCTCCTTCTACAGGTGTGCAGTGGAGAGCATCCTGTGCTCCAGCATCAACATGTGGCATGGAGGCTGCACAGCTGCAGAAAGAACAGCTCTGCAGAGAGTGGTGAAGGCTGCACAGAAGTCTGTTGGAGTCAGCTTCCCCACCATCACAGACATCTACACCCCCAGATACAGGAAGAGGGCCACCTGCATCATGAAGGACCCCACTCACCCAGCATACAAACTTTTTGCCCCGCCCCACTCAGGCAGGAGGTTGAGGAGCATTAAGTGCAGAACCACTAGACTGAGGAACAGCTTCTACCCTGAGGCTTACTCATAAATCCCTAATGAGAATTATCACTGTGAGAAAATAAATCACTGTAATGCTACTTGATTGTTGATATGTGCTGCTGACTATCCATGCTGATGACCTCATGCTGCTGATTTATTTCATGCTGCTGTATTCATTCATACTCATCTGCTCACACAGACTCATGTTCGTGCTGCTGTTGTTCATCGTATTGTTTTTGCACTATTAAGTGTTTAGCATATTTCTTAGTTCATATCTTGGATCTTATTACCGTTTTTCTTTACAATTTATACATTTATTGGATGTAACTGGGACCCTGTGTACACAATTTAGTTCCACCACATGTGCCACGTGTGTGTATGACAATAAAGAACCTTGAACTTGTTACTTCAGACTTCTGTCTGCCTCTTTGGTTATTGTGTCCCGCTTCTGCTGACATTACAAATATTTACGACTTTATGATGCATATTAAAACAAACGCGATCAAAACTGTGTGTATGTTTTAGGCCTCATCTACACTCCTGCAAGCTAAAGAGGGAAACATATTTCTAAAATCATGCTTTGCATATCCTATGCTGTGACCAGGTGCCACACCACATTGTTTCTAGTTTTAACAATGGATTTAGCCCAGATGGTCTCTTGCTATCCAGTACATGTGACAGGTTAGCTATGGACATCACCTTTAAAGTGATTCTTCAGAAAGACACGACAGCTCAAGTCTACACTTCTTGGAATATCAGTGGAAAAGTGTTTCTTTCTCTCTGTTTTATAATTCATTATTTCAAATCCCAAATATTTACTCCCATCAACTCCGTTTCTTGTCTTTCTTTTTAAAGTTCTGTTTCCTGTTTGTTGGTTTCTCTTTGTTGTAGGCCGCTAAGTGCAATATCTGCTGTAGGCTTTATCTTTGTGCTTGTTCTGTTTTCTCAGAGGTAAATTGGTCCATAGTGTTGATTACAGTCACAAAATCTTTCCTCTTCTGTCTGGATGTCATTAATGAGCAGCATTGATCCTGATCCACTTTATTTCAGCACACAATCAATATTTATGCATGAAGAGGCAGAAAGACCACAGCAAATGCATTTTCGACATCCCCGTGACCTCTCCCACACACCGACACACTCGTCTCCTCACCGTGGACCTGGTTGATCTCAGAGTTCTGTGACAGAATCTCGTCAGCCAGTTTCTGTGCGGTGGGCAGCACCTCGGTGTGGTGGACCGATATCAGGTACTGGACGAACTTCTGCAGCTGGTCTCTGCTCATCTGGAACAGTGTTTCTGAGATGGGCAGGTGCAGTTTGACCTGCTCGGGTTTCCGCACTCTGTACAGCGACAGCGCCACCACGTGAGCGCAGTAGAAGATGTCTTTGTTTCCGCAGGTGCACGTTACCGCGGTGATCTTGCAGCGGTCGAAGCTGACGCTGACGCTGCACACGAGCTCTGGGGACGAGGGCGTGGCGGGGTCCGTCACTGTGCCGCTCAGATGGAAACCTGAAAACCATCAGAAACAAACTCAATTAAGTAAATTCATCTACGTAATGAATAAAATGTTTCCAAATTCATCCATCAAATGTGAACTAACAGAATTTCTCTAGGCTCCTGTTTTTTTAAAAGGATAGTTTCAACAGCAATGAAGGCAATATCAATTTTTTTTTAATTCTGGGGGATATTCTTGTGAAAGGATCAAACTACCGTATTGTTCAGACTATAAGGCGCATTAAGCAAAACAAAACAGTCGCATAAGTCAAACTTTATTCAACTCATTCACAATAACCACATAAAACCAGTTCAAGGTCATCAAGCACAACCAGAATTAATACATAAGGGGCACCAGATTATAAGGCTCACTGTTGAGTTTTGAGAAAATTAAAAGGATTTTAAACGCACCATATAGTCTGAAAAATACGGTAATAATGTCTAGTCAGACCGAGGGATATTTCAGAGTCGATTTATACCATCTAACATCCAGCATCAAACTTTAAAAACTTTCTAAATATTCAAGTAAATGCTATTTTATAAATCTTGATGCTTTTGGATTAAATTGGTTAATTTGCACAGTCCCTGATGGATGTGCACCAGGCTGCACCACTGCTAGCTGCTGCTGCCATATCCTCCTGCAACATACCCAAGGAATCTAAAAACTAGAGAAATTACATTTTCTCCAACAGCATATGCCGAAGAAGCCGAAACTGAGTTTCTAATGCTAAAAGAAGCAGAATACTAGTTAAACGCTATATGGGGCCGAGATGGTGTAGAGGCAGGGCAGCCGGCTTGGGACCCGAGAGTCCCAGGTTCGATCCCCAGTCACTGCACATCACGTGGCGTCTCTGGGCAGCACGTCTAATCCCCAAAATGTCCCCCGGGCGCTTTCAATAGCTGCCCACTGCACCACCTGGTGGTGGATGGGTTAAATGCAGAGACTAATTTCGCCATTGTATGGAACATACAGTGCTGACATTGTGATGACATTATTATTATTATTATTAAAGGGATCAAAACACAACAGAAAAGTTAAAAGAAGCAAAAGACTAGCTAAAAACACATCTTTGGTGAAAATGTTTGAAAATAAAGTTAATTACAGTATTTTGAAAAATATAAACATTACAAAAACCAAGTCATTGCACTCGTCTCCTAAACGAGCTTAATGTTTTAACCTGTGAATGACTAAAATAGCACGAAATAAGCAGAAGTAGTTAAATTATAAAAAGAACATACAATGTACAGAAAAACATAAACAGGGAAACAGGATGTTAAATCAGTATCACACATTAATTGTGTAATGTAAAAAAAAAAAAATAGTTATTTGAATGAATTACTATAAAACGTTTAAGACTGGAGTTGGTTTAAAACAACTTAATCCACTTTGGTCTTGAAACTGCTGGGACTAGTCATTAGTTTGTCAATACTGTTCAAATTAAACTCTATTTATACAAAGAAAGAGTCATCTACAACAGGTAAGATGTTTATAAGTTCACAAGATTTGAAATATCACTTTACGCAACGCAAAACACTTCAAAATATTCAAACTATTTATTTGAATGTGAACAACTGCTGTTGAATAGGAACTCTGTAACACGCTGCATCTTGTGTCCAAACAGTGACAACAAGACAACAAAAAAATCAGTCACATATATATTAGAGGCTTTTTTTAGTAAGAAAAAAAAATTAAGAAAAATAGAACACCTCATTTAGCATCAGTTCCCTGCCAAAAGCCACATGTTCTTTAATCATTAGATATAATAATAATAAGAAGAACCCACCCATCCACAGCTCAGTCTGACTGAAAGTCATATAACTTAACAGACCTCTATCCAGATGAACAAAAGTGTCAATTCACAACAGGAGGAACTGAGACAGGGATGAGGAAGTCATCGGTGAGCACGCCTGTTTCAGTATGAATAAAACAGACTCTTGTTTGAGTCAGAACTGTTTGATCTCGTTCCGACAGCTCTATCCGGAGGCGTGGCCTATCAATATGCAGGAATGAATATGAATGAGCCAGGTGGGGTCCACCGGTAGTGGCTTCAAAACACACACCCATGATCATATAAAAGATGAAAACATGTGTACATGGACCGAGACACAGCGTGAGCTCATGGTTTATTAATAGTAGGAGGGGCTAGGAGATACAGAGAGCTGCTTACGAATGCATTTATGTGCTCAGGAGATGGAGGTGAAATTCATGTGAACCAGGCAAAGACAGACAAATCCTTAATATGTTTATCAAAGAGCCAAGTGCACACATCACGGTGATATAAAGCATGCATTAACGCACATATCAAAGGGTTTTCTGGTGAGAAGGAAGGCACATGAGATGAATATTTTACAAGATTTAGATGGGAATGGAATGAAGGTTGTACAAGCAAGCTAAGGAGAGGTCAGGTAGCAGAAGCTTTGCCTCTTTTGTTCTTTAGATATACCATCAGAACGCAGTTTAATAAGGAGAGATATCAGTAAATAAGATCACAGCTCCTGCATTTAATATAGATTAGGCCTGTCGCGATAAACGATAAATCAGTTAATCGCATGAAAAATGAAAATTATCAACCGCGTTTTCATTTATTGGCTAAGGCTTTATTGTTTCTTCGTGTCTCTCTCTTTCTACTGAAGACACTGGATGACAAAAATGACCCCTCCCTTTTCTCTTTAAAATCCATTTTAACCGTCCAAAATCGTGTTTTTTGGATCGTTTAAAGCAGCTAAGCTGAGAAGCTAAGCTACGAGCTAAGCTAACAGGCCGACCTCGGGGAAAAAACCTCCGTCTTGTCAAAGCTCCAAAATTCACAGTTGAAAAAGAAGCTGAGAAATTGTTTACTGATTTTTTTTTTAAATTAAAAACTTTGTGTGAAAAATGATATGCTAAAGAGCTCAAACCACACCAAGCGTCTGCCATTTTGAGAACTGAAGAGAGACACGTCAAGGGCCTTCCTCCCATTTTTCCTTAAAGAGACACGCTGCTTGCTCCCTCATTATCCTTCCTTCGATTCTAACAGTTTTGTACTACCAAAAAAATAAAAAATAAAAATTCTTATACTGCCATACAGTGGTCGAAAAAAATTACTACATGCAAAAATAATTAAATATTTCTTCTTAAATTTGACAATAATTACCAATTATTGTCAAATTTCAAACAATATTATCGTTTATCGCAATAATTTCTGAGACAATTAATCGCCTAGCAAAATTTGTTATCGTGATAGGCCTAATGTAGATATAGTACCTTTAGGATACTCTAGGATACTAAAATCAGGTCTCTCTTGTAAATGAGTCCTCAAGGCTCAATGGAATTTACCTTTCTAAATAAAGGTTGAATGAATGATATGCTACTTTTTTCCTGAACATTCTCATTGAAGAAACATAGTCACATTGAAGTTAGAGAAGATGAAGTCACTATGCAATCAAAAAATTTAATATACTAAATGGCTTGAAGGAAGGAATACGCAAAGCAAATCATCTTGCACTGAGAAAAAACAGAATTATAGCCGCCTGAGTCAAAGCTTGTACAGTAAATGACATCTCATTCAGTATTGTGAGATCTTGCTAGATGTGTTGGTGCTCCGAGACTTTTAATGATGACTCTCAGCCACAACCACACCAGATTTTAGTTCTTAATATCTGTAAGAGCTAAATATATTTTAATGTCGTCTGTGTGTTGATTAGATGTGGTGGTCATCTTGCAGTTTGGTAACTTTGAAAGCAAATCCTATATAGATATACACCCAATGAGTACTTTCTTTGAGTTTCATTAAAATTGGTTTAATGATTCATTCTACTTTGTTAACAGACACGGATGACTCTTGGGAATGACTCGGCTACTAATACACCAAATTTTAGCTCGATCACTGTTCAACTGTCTGCATCATAGCCATTTTTGTGTTGGTTAACATTGCTTAGCTGTGTCGACCATCTTGAAAATTGTTGACAGCGAAAGTTAAACCGTTGTAGACATATACCCAATGATTCAGGTTCACCCAATGATTCACCCATTGAAACAGGTCTCTCTTGAAAATGAGCCCTCGTGACTCAACGAGGCTAACCTGTATAAATAAAAGGTTGAATGAATGAATGATTACTTTCTGGGAGTTTCATTAAAATCCATTCAATGGCTCATGAGATGTTTTTCTAACACCATAGACAAACATGCAGGTGAAAACAACATCCACTTTTTACTTTCAGTGGGATAAATTTTGCAAAACTACTAAAACAAGAAAGCCGAAACAACAAAGTCTTGTGATATGCTGTATGCCTGGTTTTAGAACTGATTCTGCATAAATAAAAAGTGTTGGCTGCACGAATCTTACAACTGCAAAACATTGCCATGGAGAAACGAGTTCCCGCCGTGAAAGCCAGCTGGCAGAGAAAGCCCATGTTCATTTACAATATCCACAGCAGAGGGGCGTGGATCAACTATGGCAGCTCTGTGCATCTGCACTGATCAAAGCCTATATGTCTACAGCTGCGGGACAACGGTGGAGCCATACTGAAACAATCCTAAACAAGACAAAAAGGTTTACACGCCACAGCTGTTTGTGAAAGAAAAGCATACCTATTTGGTTGTAAAGCCAAAAAAGGCTAACAAATAAGCTTTTAATATTTGCTTATATGCTTTGCATGGATGAGTGTGTTTAGTGTGAGTTGAGTTTCAAGAGTGGCCCCTGGTCCAGAGAAACGGAAAACATCAAACACATGTGGAGCCGCGAGAGAGCTCAAAGAAAAATCAACCTCTGATGCAAACGCACAGAGACACGCACTGAGCAGACGGTTATAAAGGCAGCTGCACTTTCTTCTGCAAATGTTTTCGAGCTCAAAGGGAGAATTAACGGTGATGCGCTTTAAAATGAAAAACATGTGGCGTATGTAAAACTAACTAGTGATAAAAGACTCGCATGCTCGAACGGGGATTGGGGGGGGGGGGGGGGGTAGGTGTTGTTTCCCTTTGCTTTATCGGACTCTTTCACCTTCCGAGCCCTTTGCATCCCCCCCACCTCACC